GAACTATCTCTAAATAACTGGTGCTGACTTATTAGATAACTGTCTTTCTTTGTATATTTCTAACAACAGATTTTTTTGAAATTTTGGTTATTGAAAATTTGGTACAAGGGATCGTTGGAAAGAGTTTTTTTTTTTACTGTGTTTTTTTTTATTAGATAATAGCTTATTAAATTTTAAGTATTATTTTGAAATATTATAGAATATCCGAATATGATATTCCTGTTTTAAAGTTTGTGAATGGGTTCTTAAATAAAATATTTTTACTGTGTTAAGAATAAAATAGAAAAATAATTTACTAATGTTAATTTATACCTCAAAACACTTTATTGTATACTATTTATTTCCAGGACAGTGAATATTTCCTCAGTAGTTGATGTGTGGGTGCTTTGCACCTATACATACACTGCTAAGAAAAATTAGGATTATTTATTATAGCCATTTTCAAAAAGTATGAATAACAATTTCTATATACCTAGATGAAAAATCAAAGAATTTGAAAATTTAGAATAGTAAAAATAAACTTTGGTCTTTGAAAACTTTGGAAATATAAGAAATATTATAAATTTCTCATGACATGATGATCTGTGACTGTTTATATCTTTTTGAAAACAGATATAATATGTACATATATATATATGTATTTATAGTATTTTTTATATTAGTATTTAAAGTCAAAACTTTTTTTTACTAATATTTATTTCTTATCTATTTTACTTATATGACCTGGGTTGGCTTGATTCTGACTGTGACCTGCATAACTATTAAATCTAATAACCTGTATAGGTTAATCTTACTTGTATAGCAGCTCTATTTACAAGTGTGTTTTTATATACTGCATTTTAATTAAATAATTTTTTGTATAGTTAGATATATATTTAGATATATATAATTAATTAAATATCAAATAAAATAATATGCTATATAATTTTAATATTATAACTTATTTATGCTGCTAATTAATTTTTTTTATTTTTTAATTTAAGTAATACAATTAGTTTTTATATCAAAAATATTTAAATTAATTTATTATAAAAAAGTTTTACATATTCATACAAATAAGTTCTAATAGGTTTTGCTGTTTAATTTTTGCAATATTTCTGTTTATTAAATCCTCATCTTTATTTAATTGATAAATTAATTCAGAATCATTAATTTCATCATTATTACTATCATCTTCTTCCTACTCATCATTATTTTTTTCTACAAAATTGTGTAAAATTAAAGCAATATCAATTATATCTGTTTCTTTTACTGTATCTTTTAATCTCATATACTTTAAAAAAGAAAATCTAGCTTTTAATCTACCAAAGGCTTGTTCAACAACAACTCTTGTTTTACTATACATAGTATTATAATATTTTTGTTATTGTATATTTGAACCTTGTGGATTCTTAAAAGGTGTTATAATCCATGGTAATAAGGGATATGCAGAGTCATTTAATAAATAATCTTTATCCTTAATAAAAAGATTATTATTTTTATATATATATGAATATTTAAAAACTTTTGTATTATGAACTGATGCAGGCCAACCTATTTCATAACAAGTAAAATGTCCTTTATGGTCAACAATAGCTTGCAAATGAATAGTATATTGATGTTTACAAGAGATATATATATCTTTATTAATTTTACTTGGTGCTTCCATTAATGGTATATGAGAACCATCAATTGCTCCAATTACCATTGGAAATCCAAAATTTTCAAATCCTTTATGAACTTCATTTTAATAATTTTCTTGAGGCCAAACAATATATTTATCTTTTAAAGATCATATAGCAATAATTAATTATTCTAAAAAATTAAGAATTGTTTGTTTACATTTTCCAAATAAAGTTGCAATGGTCCAAAGAGAAGCATTTGATCCAAGTCGATATAATACAACTGCAAGTTGTATAGCAATATCTGTTTGATTATTATTTGAATTAGAATAAAAAACTGGATGAAATTTAATTTTATCAACCAACATTCAAAAGGTTGATTTATCCATTCTTAATGTTTTTTTAAACTTTTTATTTCTATAATTAAATAAACAATTTTGAACTAGTGTTTGTAGTCAATCCTTATTTATCGACTTGACTAAGTCGATATTTAAAATTCGGCTTAGCCGGCTAAGTCAAAGTCGATAAATATTTTTTACCTTCAGAATTTATCAGTGATTTCATCAAATTTTTGTCGTGACCTTATGTTCATTGATTTTCTTTTTGGATTTTCTTGACTCTTACTCTTAGTGTTATGTACTAAGAGAGGTAATGTATCGAATTTGATTGGTATTTAATATAATCTAACATAAAATCAACTAAGTCGATTTTTTGGAAAATCAGCTAACTAAGCCGGCTAAGTCGATAAAAATTGACTATGCGAAATCGACTACAAACACTATTTTGAACCCAATCATAAGATTTAGGAATTTTATTATAATTAATTTTTAAATTTAAAATTTTATAATAAAGTGCCAAGTGGTTTTCAAATTCAGTATCTTGATCAATATCCATTGCATCTTGATCACTATTTGATTCAGCAATTTTAACAAGGTTAGCAATATTTTCTAATTGATCTTTTTTAAGTGCCATAATTATAATAAAATAATAAAATTTTTTAAAATAAACAGGTAATATGATAAATAATGTATACTAAAAATTTGTAAATAAACAAATAATATAATAGTAATATGTTAGTAAATTAAACAGGTAATGTAATGTGTTGAAATTATTTAAAACTTTGACAAAATTCGCTCTTATTTATATTTTTACGTTAAATAAATTTATTTTTAACAATTTAATACTTGGGCACTATAAATTAAATATTATTACATAATTAACTAAGCTATATGATAATTCATGCTTCGATTTCATAGTTGAAGGCTATGTATAAGATAACTTGGCTATAACTAACGTGTTTGTTGCATATCAATTACATCATTAATTTAATTTACAAAAAGATTTAATAATATTTGTAATTCTAAATTACAAATCGAAAAGATTATAGGATGTAAAGCATATTTATATCACATAATGAAAGTTTAATATGTTAGAAAAAGTTTTATTAGTAGAAGTTCATTTAACTGACCAGTACAGACATCTTCTTTTTAGCATGGAGTTGCATTTATTGGTCAAAATTTTTCAGAAAAAAATAATTGTTAAAGTACTTCATTATTATTATTATTGTTATGAACCTTCAAATCAATGTTGATGAATTATTATTACCTTATTATAGTTGCAAATAAAAATAGACATGTTTTTGTTCTGTTGGTTCATAATAATTCTGAAAAAGAATTACAGAATTTGGAAAACAATAATTGCCAAAATGGCAGTAATGATAAAGACATTTGTTCAAGCATTAATTGCAAGTTATTGTTATGGATCTTCAAATCAACATTGACAAATTATTACTGTATTATTATCTTATTACAGTTGCAAATAAAAATAGACATGTTTTTTGTTCTGTTGGTTTGTAATAATTCTGAAACAATAATTGCCAAAATAGTAGTAATGATAAAGACGTTTGTTCAAGTATTAATTGCAATTAATATTTTAATTAATCATAATATTTGAACACCAACATGATTATAAATTAATTTATTGTGAAAAATATATGAATCATATCATCGTCTATACTATGGTCTTCAACATCATACAATCGGTTCTCAAAAATGATCTAATTAATAATGCCATAATAGAATCACATCAAGCATGCTGCTGGAGAACACCCTAAAGCTGCTTTATTTATAATTTATGGCATTCAAGTAACATACATACATACATAAGTCATTTGTTGATCAGTGAAAATTTACATGCCAATTCTGAATTAACAAAAGTCACTGATTCTTAAGCTTTTGCTCTTTGTGGTTGTACATATAAAAAAAATACAAAGAGCTATTAGTAATTCCTTCAAAGATGTTTAGAATAACTAATATGTGTAGCGATACAAGATATCTGTTTATTATTATTTTATCATGCAATTCACTAATGTAACTAGCAACAGAATAATTAGAGCCAGAGTGTCTAGCTATTTCTAATATCTAAAATAATACTAGTAATATTATAACAACCACATAATCAAATTCAACTGGAATTGTTTACTTTAATTTTATATGTTTATAGAATTAAAATAAGACAAATTTTACTGAATTTAGTTTGGTTGTTTTCGTGATATCGTTAGTGTTATCTTAGATGCTAGAAACAGCTAGACACTCTAGTTAGAACAGAGTTGGAATAAAATCAGAACAAAATGATTAGGTTTAAAAAGAACCAAAATTTTACTAAGATACCTGTTTTCAGTTCTTTAATATAATTTAACTAACATAATTTTATAAGTTAAAAATAGTAATAATTGATGAAATAAAATAGGATGTCTAGAACAGAACAAGGCAAGGCAAAAAAACCTGGGGCAGAACATATGTACATATGTACGTACTGACTGGTAATAAATTTGTGAAATGTGATAAAATTATACGTTATCGGGATAATACTGTAGTTGTGATAAAACATAAAGGCCATATTCATTATGGATATTAATGATATCAGGCGTTTCTTATTATGGTTGGACCCAAATCACAGGTATATGTAGATCTCTAAAAATAGAACAATACACTCTTGTACTATGTGATTTGTTTTTTTGTCACATAATATGTTAGTTAGATAATACGAAATAGAGTTTGGAACCGGTTTTATTTTTTATATGTTAAACCCGGTTTTAATTGGTTTTAGCATATGAAAAATAAAACCGGTTCCAAACTCTAATACGGAATTTTCTTTAAAATGTTATATGTAAGTATTTTAGGTTACGGGTTAACTTCCCAAATCAATTTTACTAAAATACCATTTCACCGATGTCATAATACTAACATCCCATTTTACTAACAAGACATAATTTTAAAGTCTCATTTTACCGAAATATTATTTAATTGATAATAAATTTTAATGAGGATATCAGAATTATGGAATGATATTTCGGGAATGTAGGTTTCAGAAAAGTGAGAATCAACGCTACATACTTCCTTCACTAAGTTAGCAGCTGTGTATCCCCGCACTGCTCTGTGAAGAAGAAATAGCTATGTATACTCAATACTGTTCTGAAAAAGTGATTTAAAAAAAAAATCAAGTTAATATTGAACCTTAACTGCATACTATTGCTATCAGTATAGCAAATTCTGCAACAAAATTTTTTATAGCAGCTTATGACAAAATTATAATATTAAAAAATAAAGCCAAAATTTTAGTCCCCACTTAGCTATCCTCTCATATATGTTTATTTCAGTTTTGATAAAATGATTCAAGATAAACTGCCGAATAAAGAGCTTCTGAAGTGTTTTTTTATTTAGTGAGAACTAGTATTAATGAGTAAGAAGAAATATTTAAATAAATATTTAACTTTTACGGAATAACAATTACAAATCAAATCTTGGTCTTCATCAATAAGTTCAAGTTGTTCAGTGAGTTTTTTTACTTTGCTTTCTGGTCTATGACTAGTAGAACAATAGATCTCTATATTAATTGGCAAATATTCTAGGCCAGAATCAAGATCAGTATTAGAAACATCTAATCATTTTAAATTTTTTAATGGTTCTAAAGAGCCAGTAAAGTGGTTGTAGAAGCCTTGCTGAATTCTTTCTTTTTCTGGACATTTTCTTGGATACATCGGTGAACTTCTGGATCAACCTGGTGAATTACTTTTAGGAATTCGGTTTGATATTTACCTAGCAAACTCATTAAAGTCCGAAATTCATCAGAAGTAAAATTGGGCAATCTTTTTTCTAATTCGGCCAACAATTCTGACTTGGTTAAGGATTTATTTGGCATGCTCTTTTTTCAATTTATTTAATTATTCGGCAAATTCCTGGTCCTTTTTCTCATCTTTCTTTTTTACTTGACTAGCTTCTCATGAATCAGAGGCTCATTAATTTTTACTCTTCAATCAACAACTCCTAATTTTTTACTTAATTGTTCTCCTGAGACATTTTTTTTTATTAGGTCCATTTCAATATCGGCATTATATTTTTTCTTATTTTTCTCATCAAATGCTTTATCATCTTTTTAGATTTTCTTTATATTTGTCAAGTTTCTTTTTATTTTCTTCATCCTTTTTCTTTTGGTCCTTTTGCCAATCAAGTTCGCCTACTAAATATTTTCTTAACCATTCTTTATTCGCTTGCTCTTCCTTATAATAATTATCTCATCATTCTTTATTTTTTTGGGTATCATCTTTTCATTCTTGCTTGTTTGTCATGGATTCTTTCAAAAGTGCTGACCAAATTCGGGCTTATGATTTTGGAGATGCTTTTAATACATGAGAGGCTATTTGGAGATTTTACGACCAAATTGGACAGGAAGTGACAGTTATAAATGCCACTAAAAATGTTACTGCCAAAATTGCCCAAGATATTTGCGGTATTAAAAATTTGATGCTAGAAGTAAGTGATGTGGAGATTAGTAAACCCAAAATTCTGATCTGTGATCGCTACAAACATACTTTAAAAAATGATGCAGATCCGATCACTAGATCACGAGAGTTTTGACTGTAAAAATTCATGTTAGTATTTAAATGGTAAAAATATATCGTTCAATAAATAAACTATAAGGTATTTGAAGTTATTCAAAAATATTTTATTAAAACTGTATTAAATTTCATATACATTACATTTTAAACGTATATATGCTTATTTAATTAGGATAAGGCATCTTACGTATATAGGGTTTATGCTTTATGTACTTTAACATTAGATTCACTATGCTTATAGTTTATTTCTAATTCTTTTACTCTTAACTCTAATTCTTTTAATTTTTGTTCAAAATGCTCTTTCATTCGTTTTTCGAATTCAAATTTTTCTTCTTCAATTTTAATCCGAGCATCAACTTCTTTTTTTTTTAGTTCATACTCTAAATTTCGTAATTTTAAATTCTCTTCTCTATAATCTTTTTCTGCTTTAAGTTTATCACGCTCAATTTCAGAGTGAGCTTCATTCCACTGCCTTCTACTCTTAGCTGACAACTTCTTACTTTCACTAATAGTTGCTACAGATTCAATATATGCTGAATTATTCTCATTTAGTTTGGGTTTTTTTCCACGTTGAATTTTTTCATTACCAATATTATTGCTACAATGCTAAGTTTTAAATAGAAAATAAGTTGTACGCAGCAAGATCAAACAAATATATATTAAATATATTTGTAATTTTTAAAATATATAAATACCTTTCCAGTGCTATCAACCAAAGTTTCTGGATGAACATTCTCACGATTTCCAAAGATCTCATTTATTAAAGAATAATAGGGCCATTTTGAGGTTCCTTTGCCTGTCTTTTCTTTACTTTCATCAGAATATTTTCTAACTAGACCTTGTAGTTTTCCACGAACTTGTAAATTTGATTTACCACCTATATGCAAGGCAGCCCTTGCATAGAATTTTTCTTTGTTTTTACAATAATAAGAAAAATTTTCAGATAAATAAGCAAGCAACAATTTAATAGCCGAATCAGTCCATTTGCTATTAGTATCATCATCTTCAATTAGTGGTCATTTATTTTTCCCCTTGATATATTGAGATGAAGTAATAGCTAAGTCATCATCGTCAGATAAAATACACTCCAAAACGGGTTCAAATAAAATATAATTTAAATCAGGTAAAGTGGTGTTAGATGAACTTGCTTCTTCTAAATTATTATACTGTGTAAATTTTTTTCCTGTCTTATCAGGATACACAGTAAATACAGGTCTTGTTTGCATGATTTTTAATTGATCCATTTGAAAAGCGTAACTTCAAAATTTATTAAAATTTGTGCGAAGTAATAAGCATTTATATAATCACTTCGCACTTTTACTTTTTAGATCAATACAAATAAACTAGTAATTTCCATGATTTATTTTTATTGTTATGATCCAAGAAAAGATTTAAGGCTGTTTGGAACTGCCTAGCTGAATTTACTAAATTTAGTTATAACAATAATGGTATGCATCATAAATCAAATTCTAAAAAAAGTATGCAATGGATCATAAAACCTTATTGTTTTAACAATTAGGTTAGGATCCAAGTGCATATAACTTTAGATTCAAAATTCTATAATGCTTATTTTATCAAAGACTGATACCCTAAAAATCGTCTAGCTTAGGCTAATCTCAAGCATCTAAATCAAGTAATCAGATAATAATCATGACTACACTCAAGCCATTACAATATTTATAGAATTAATGCTTGTGCATACTTTTTGTTTTTCGTAATGTTCACTATACTACCTAAAAATACTAATTTTCTTTTCGATCAACTGTTAAAGTTTCAACTTTAGTTACGTCAGCTTCTCCTTTTAACAATTTAAACTTCTTTACTATCCGTTAAATATGGAAAAACATATACCCAAACCTTTCAGTTTTAGGTCTTCATTACTGAGAAGATTTTAAATTTTAATGAGTGAAAATGGAATAACAATATTTATTATAGTTTATTAAAAGGTAAAGGATGGATTGTGTCTATTACATTTGTATCAAGGTATCAATTATTTGGTTTAAAAGCTTCGAACACTAAAATAGAGTGACCACCTTTTTAGACTGGTTAGAAATTTGTTGAGAATTAATTGTTTATTATATTTAATATGTAAAAAATGTAAAAACAATACTTGAGCAACTTTTATCAATGGTAAATTTTTGAAGAAAAAGGGTGGTTTGTGTCTCACTGATTTGTTCATCAAAATAATTCAACTAAACTAGTATCACAGGTTAATCAATGACTTTCATCAAAGAAAAACCTAAATCAGAAGTGACCACTAGTAACTTTTACCTTAAGTGATTCAGGTTTATTTTGTTACAAGGGAAAGTTTACTTTTGCTCCTTTATAACTAATTAGGTCTAAACTATTACCTCATACTTTGATCATATGATCATTAAACTTCTAAATTGATTACATATTTATTGCTTAATAATTCATGCCTATATTAATAAACTATTTAGTACTACCAACTATTACATAATTGATCTAGGTTCTAGTACCCTAGCCATGGCGAAAAAAATTCTCAGATCACATGCCGTAGATCAATTTTATGGATTTCTATTGGACGCCATATTGATAACCCTAGATAGTCTAGTTCTTATAAATAAAATTTTTTAAAAATTTGAGCGA